GTGCTGTTTTTGGAGATGAACAACCACAAATGATGTGAGTGCCATATTTAAAACTTCTGACATCCTCTCAACTGACCAAACAATGAAGCTCTACCCTTAATAAAAGCCAGATCTTTAACTGTTGGTTTTATTATCACCTGTGACATTGTGAAAATAGTTCAGCACACAACGTAGAAGAGCATTCATGAACATTATTTTCAGCCTAATGAATTACTAGCAACTTTTTGAATGACCACTGTCTGCTATATTAACATCACTTGCTGGCGTTACGACTATTGTAGCCAAAGTTTGGGCCACCTAATTTTGAACTCACCTGTCATTTTAACTCAACAGCAGGAAAATGTTACAACAACAGCTCAAGCAGTTGTAATCAAACTGAATAATCTTGATAAATTTAAAGACATGTAAAAACACCTGTGCATCTGATCTAAAGTAACAGGTTTTAAGGTAGGTACGGTACTGTTAGATGTAGAGGTTGATGTTCATAAACTTGACACACAAATCTCTATCCAATAAAGGCACTATTTGGAAAAAAATCCCAAAAATTCAAAGTTACAGCACATCACAATCTGAGCAATTCGCAAGTGAAGGAATCACAAAAAGAAAGCTAAATCGGAGCGAAGTCCAAGTACAAAAGCTTCTTTTCTTTCCTAGAGTCTGTTTCCTACCTTGTTTCAAATCTTGATGTCAGTACAACAGCTGAATCCAGAAGGCGATCTTCCTCTCCTGTCTGAGGAGGAAAAGGAATAATAATAAAATTTTTAGTTTTAAGATTTTTAGTTTTCCCAAAAATATTGTTAGTCTTGTCTCAATTTCATTGACCCTACATTGTTTATCATCTTAACTTGTGAGCTGGATGTATTGTTACAGTCCTAGACTACAACAAAAGAAATCTTGAACTTACTTGAAAGAAAGTAAAATATTATGCAAATAATGTGTAAAATGTACGGCTGTCTTTTCTTTGCAATAAGTTTTATTAAAGTCAAGGTTTAGGTTTGCCATAGGGGACAACAAGCTCATTTTAAAAGTAAATGTTTGCAGATTAACCTGCTCTTTCCTCTTCTCAAAGAGTTATGTACACTGTGTGACAATTTAAATGAGCAATCACCATAGGTTATAACATCCTGCTTTGCTGGATCTCGGGGGCTTTAACATTCCTCCAACATGCCAGTAATAGATCTATTTACATAACTCACATGCTGCATAAACAAATCGATGTCTGTCATCCTGTCATACTCCATTCAGTGTTGCAATTCGCTTACAGCTGAAAGCCCTAAAACAACCATGTCATTGTGGGCATGTCTCCACCATTCACGGAGAAGACACCAGGTGTGCAGTCCTGTTCAACAAATAGCTGTATATACCATAACCGCTGCACGGCTGACACATTTCTAAAGAAGCTGTCTTCTAATCAAGACCTATGAAACATTACATATCTTTGATTCTGAAAATGATCAAACGAAGAAGAACATTTTTTTATTTTCCCTGGTTAGTTTAGAACAAAGGAACTGGTTGGAATCAACAGTGATAACCATTATGACCAAACAAAAATCTTTATTTGACTGATACTTAAAATTGTAATTATTTTAGGAATGTGGAAAAAATAGTTTAGGAGCAATACTATTAAATAGTGCTTCTTTCACTGGGAAACACTGCAGAGTAGAAACATATCAGAAAAGATGATGGACAGGAGTGAAACAATCTACCTACAGCTCAGAGAAGTTAACCCAAAACCACAGGAGCTTTGTTGGATCCCATAAAAAGATATTTGCCTTGCAGACTCCAAGAAACACATATCATACATTGTATCATACCATATTGTCTTGTGTTGTATCATAAAATCATATCATCGCATTCTCTTGACTATGGCTTTGTATCATATTGTACTACTACTATTTATTTTGTATTGTACAATATATTGTTTTGTATCACATAGCATTATAATATGTCATACCACACTGTATCCAATCATGATATAAAGCCCCACAAGGGCAAAAGTATGCCTATCTTAATTTTGCTTGCCACCAAATTACTATGAACATCTAAATGCATTCATATAGTGACAACCAAAATTATTTATACATCTGGCAGATTTAAATCTAAAATTATTTTAATTGATCCAAGAAGTTTCTTTCTAATATTACAATGCACAAAGAATTGACAAAAAACAAATTCTTTTTCAAAAATTGGATGTCAAAAATGTATTATATTTTCTTCAATGCTCAATTAAAAAATATTTTTTCTTTTAAAATAATTAAGTCCCTCTTATAATCGCTGACCAGGATGGATGCCTCCATTGGTGTTTTGACAATTTATCTTTGGTGAAGCCAGAGTTGACTTTGGCAGATAACAAGAAGGCTGAACATCTTACACTGAAGTATATTTGTGTTCTACTTTTGATACTGTGATGTATGAGCTGGAATTTAAAAATGGCTGCTTCATCTGACTGTTGGAGATCATTTGGAGGAGCATTTCTTAGCACGTGCAACCAAACAGCAAAAACACGATCACCTTTGATGACAGGCTATAACTCAGTGCTCCCGGCAGAAGATCCCAGGCAGCAAGTTGGTACATGAAAAGTTAAAAGGTCAGGTAAACAGCCAGGGGTCTGACCATTTAAAAACAAAATAAAATCCAGAAATCTACTCCAAAGCTCAGATGCAGACTCTGATGGGCAGGAAGGGCTGGTGTACCTGGCAGCAGCGTTCTGCAGCAGTAGTAGTTTTGGTTTATTTTGCAAAAAAGTAAATAGCAAGAGTCAAGTCTGGACAAGATGTAAACTGATGAGGTAATTTTGATCAACAAGGAAGAGGAAATACATCTTGGAAACCTACCTCTGGTGACTGAAACAAAACTTTTAAGGAAGACATAAATACTCATAAATAAAACTATTATTAATAGTATTATAATGATCCTGTAACAGGAAATCTCGTATGTTCGTCCAATTTCAGAAAATCTCGCAAAAGCTGTCCCGTTGCTTTCTACATGCCTTGTCTGGTGAGGCAAGTTTGAGCTCTAAGTATGGGCCTTGGAAATGGTGTCGTTGTATCTGTTAGAGACTCTTATTTTGAAGTAAGACAGGAAGTAGTTCTTGAGGGTCCCTGTTGTATATTGACAGAATGAGCAAATAAGCACGGCTTATCGGACTGGCTGTCAACGCTATGTTACATCAGCAAAAAAAATCTTTTACCACCTTTAAACAGCGTGGCAGGATTTTGGGTTCTCTGTAGAGAACAAATGGAAACAATGACACTTAAATGGGCACAATATAATCGACTTGAACACGCTGCAAGAAAACTGCGACTGGCTAACTGTTAGCAAGTACCGGGGGGCTTTTTTAAACATGTCTAATGGGTCTGGACTACATCTGATCATCTCTATTTACATATCTAAAATACTTAAGAGCAGTCAAGCCTGAATTGGATAATTTTACACAGTAAATTTTCCTTTATTCTACTTGTGAAAGCGAAAGAAGGCATCAGTGGAATCTTTGTCAAATGTAAAAGAAAAAAAAAAAGCAGTACATAGACTAAAACATGGACTGGATTTTTCCAGATTCTTTAAAAAACACAGTTTGTGATTTGTGAAACCTTTATTTGCAAAAAGAATGGTGATTCGGAAAGATATTGGTAAGATATTTTCACAGTTTATGAGGTGGATGCATCAATACATCTGTAGTCTTTATAGTTCCTCAGTGGTGCGAGGGATTATGCATGTCTCTCCCAACAAAGGAGATAACTGACAGTATACTGATCCCACCCACTATGCTGGATTACCAAGTGCTAAAGTCAGACATAGAAATAATATAAGATGTCAAACTAATGTAAGTCCTACAGTTTTTCACGGCATTTTATCAATTTTCCTCACTTTCTCCTCCATTTTTTCACTCCAACATGAAACGCATTCTCCACATTTCCCAAAACAGACAAAAGCTGTCAACAGCAGCGCACTCAATAGGCTCACCCCCTTTTATCTGTTCACAAACATCTAAGTCCACCTTAACATTCCAAGTTACACAAATGTGGAATACCTGTTAGCTACACTAAGACAAACAGATGCTAATCTAGCCGTACATCTGCTTAAAACTGTTCTCATAAGCACTTTGCAACATTGAAAGGGAAATTTATTTCACACGAACCAAATGATCTAGCAGGTTATCAGTTGGGAAAACATGTCTGCTAGTCCTTCTAAAGCCTCAGTAAGTCCGGGAGGGAGGATACAGTTTGGTTTCTCTCCACAAACTGACATAAAATGTTTTCTTTCCAAGTCTTTTTCACTTTTAAAGTGATGGTTCTTGTATTGAGGCATGGCAAAACAGCAGTTTCACACTGGCATTGCATGCAACCCAACAATCCATCAGATCCATCTGCACAAAAAGACGAGATACAAATCTTGAAATCTTTTGTTTCTTTTTTAATCTAGGTCCTTTTCTTAGTAAAAGTTAACATGTTCCAAGAAAATAAAAGGTTCATGAATATGCACCGTCACACTCGACAGTCTGCACGGACAACAAAGGAAGAAGACATTAGCATTCCTGCACATACTCTGCCCTATGGTCAGGGATGAACACAGACACATACACATGCACAGCCAAAGAAAAAGAAAAAAGACGGTCATATATTCTAATTAATTCACATATGTTCACAAATAAATCTGCTGTATTAGTTTTTAAGCAATGAGGTGTTGTACAGCTCAGGAAAGATTTATGCACAAAATTATGCTAAAGGCTTAAGTGTATAATTTTCAAGATTGTATCACAAAGTTAGAAAACCTGTCCTCCCTTCACATCTGGGGCCATGCAAAGACATGAATGTGAAATATTCTACTTCACCTTTTTCTGTAAGTACTTAATCCCGACAATTCTTTTCATTTCTGAAGCTAAGTTGATCTTTTTCCTCTGATGCTACATTTTTTTCCCCCACAGACTCTCGGGACAGTCACATCTCGAGGCTCTCTTAAAAAAATAAACCAACACTTAATACACTCAAAAGGTTCAGCAGGTTGTAGTAGCTCAAGATAGGAGAGCGTCAGACTCAAAATCTAAAGGTTCCTGGTTCAGTCTCGGGTTTTGGCTAAAGCAGCTGCATGAACAACCCCCAGAAACACAATATTCAATGAAGGAAATATGACAAAATAAACCTTACACCATTAAACCCTTACAAAAGTGTGTAAGCGATTCTGCAATGATGGCAATGTTAATCGACTCCATGATTCTTGTTGTGTCTTACTCCCACAGGGGTCTTTAAGTTGTAATGTGGGGCCAAGTCATAAAACTTTGTCTCTGAAGATTATCTCAAAATGCCTGAATAACTGCAACCTAGAGCCCCCAAGTAACTCATATCAATAAAATTAAGTTACTTTCATGCTGGTAACAAAAGCACATTTTTGTTGTAGACATCCAGTTCAATGTCTATGTGTTATGGTTGAAGAAGAAGAAATATAACACGTTCTTATAGTTTTCGCAGGAAGCTGGTTGTCAGGAAAAGAAGAAGGAAGGGAACCCAGCTCTGATGATATAACTTGGAGTAAAAATAAGTAATCTAATTAGGCATATATTTTTAATATAAATTAGTGTCTATTCATCCATTTATTCAGTAGCTCAAATGAAGAGGCAGTGGGCTAGATATGGCCATTTTTTGGTGACCTGATGAAAATTCACATCTGAGACATAGCTTAAGCTGATTAAAACCTAAAAATGATTAGAGGTGGACATGATATTGTCACAAAAATATAATTGCTGTCTTTTTTAAAGATTTTTAAAGGTCTTCTTCCTGAATTTGTCTATTAGTTAATTTTTTGTATTTGGGTACGCATCCACAAGCTCCATAATGACAGGCTAAAATACGCATGCAGAAGATGGACAGAAGAGGTGTAACCCTAACCCTGGTTACATATTTACATATTTAACCCTAACCATAAATGAGTCTTAAAACTAAAACAATTACATTAAAACACAATATGTCCTTTAATGGCAAAGTGGAATAACTAGGACAAATTATTAAAGGGTTAACCAAGATGGACAGAAGGATGGATTTTGTTTTTAGGACAAATTGTCCCCAACTTGTTGCATGATTTCCTTGAAGAAATCAAGGAAATCATCATGCAAGCTTGTTGTGGTGAACTGAGTGATAAACACATGATAGATGTGTTGGTTACAACAAAACAAGAATGTCTTCAACATATTATTTTTTGACTGCATGTGTCAGTGGTTGGAATACCTTGCTCTACGCATGTGTAACAACAGCACACCATAGTCTCAAACTATCCGCTGTCTCAGCTCACTGCCTCACCTGTTGCTCATATGGAGCAGCTTCTTATGATAGCTCCTCAACACCAGCGTCTCATAATGTTGTACAGGCAGTTTGCCGTTCATTTAAGCTGCTACCAAAAAGACAGACTTTGGCGATTGCTGGCTGTTTCGCTCCTTTGCTGTTTTGCATCTTTGCAGTTTAGGCTGTTTCATAGTTTACACCTTGGGAATGTTTTATCGAAATGAGAAAGGAGGAAAACTTTACCCACAGTCGACTTCAGCAGATGGCAGGAAATTTGAACACATTGCAAAGTCGGTCTGTTTAGTCCTATTGTAATTTTTACCTTATTGCATTATTGGACACCATGCTGGATTTGGAAATATTGGCAGGCTTCTGGAAGTCTCCAAACTAGGAGTTAGTCTTTCAAAGGCATATAGTGATGCATACAGTTAGCAAAGCTAACCACACTAATCATCATAACTGCACAAACCGTGCCAACTGCAAATTTAAAATTTGTAAAATTTGTAAAATTAGTAAACCTTGCTTTACAGGTACTGCACTCTCTTTCTGTCTCTCTCTCTCACGCAACACACACACACACACACACACACACACACACACACACAGTGTTACATCACCCATTGCTCCAAATTACTTCAGGTAGACTAAAAAGAAACATTTTGAATGCTGTTATTTACAGTTCTTAAAGAAAAAACTTAATTAGCTAAAATTGATAATGGCAGGTTAGAGCAAAGAGCAGCCAGAGCTTGTAAATAAGTCAGAATTCTCTGATTGGTGCTTCTCTAATGTATATACTTCTGCACAGTCAAAATAAATGTACTCCATGATAAATACATCGAACAAACTAACATAATGTCCAACACAGATTCCCTTTAAATTAACATGTATTGTGTCGCTTTCCCATAGAACTACACAGCGTTGTCCAACTGAGCCTGAAGCTGCAAGCCTCATTTGAGACAATCTATCACACACATGCATGCACTCGCAGTCACATGTAAATTCGGGAGTCTGTCCGGATGAAAGGAGATCCTGTTACATTCGAGCCCACAGCGAGCCATCTGATCCAGGGTCAGTGTCAGCCACCTCACTGATCTGGAGTGTATGTGAGCTGAATCATTACTGTGTCTTGTGCTTTAGGCCAGACAATATCAGAATACAATGAGGGTTCTGCTTTGGAAAACTTGTGATTACGGCCAGACTAATATACGTGAACCGCACCAGTCTCTATAGTGTCAGGTATCAGATTTTTGTATCATCTGTGTACAAGCTGAGAAACATTCCTAACACATGAGTGGTTAAAAACATACAAGAAGGGCTGAATAGTAGGCAGTTGCTACAGTCCTCAGTTTACAAGACTTTGGGTTTATTTTCTAAATTCATGTAAGAACTGTTTAGTGTCACCAGAAGCAAATGGTACAATCTCAGTTTCTTGAAGTGAAAAATTACATTTTAGATCCCAGGCTTCTGACCTGGAGAAGACTGAGGGATTGAAGTGAAAATTAAAGGTTTTCTCCCACCAAATGCCAGAAGAGTAAATCCTTAGCAAAATAATCCCATCGACTTGAGTACGTTTCAGACAGATTAAGTGCGTCTACATGCATGTGCCTGTGAAAGACGGAGGCCGACACAGACAAAGGGGAAAGATCGTCTTGAGGGGGATCCAGACAGTGGGTGGAGGCCAGTAACAGAACAGTTTCCCAGCTGACCACAGAAAGAAGCCTTTAGCTCAAAGGTTAATGCGACATAAATTGATTTGTCACACTAATAAAATCTTACAGACAGGGTTACCTCAGGTCACACCACATGCACTTAGTCTTCTTATCCCATTGACACCATAATACAGCGAATATGTCCAGCCATACACACACACACACACACACATACAAACAGACACACACATTGAAGAGAAATAAACTATTAGGTGACTGCACACACACACATACAGTCCTTTGGGGCCCCACTGAGAGTATTATATAACATTACCCCTGACATATCAAGTGATTTCATGCACCTAGAGGCAGGACAATTGAGCCATTTGTTCAGCAGGGCAAAAATAGCCACCCCCCCTTCAATGTCGTCTACTATTACTTGCATTACTACCACAACTGTGGCACAGCTTGACTGTGCACTGCAGTTTAGCTTTAAGAGTCCCCATGGTTAAATAGTACTTTAATGCCTCTGCAGAAGCTGATGTGGGTGTTAAATCAGGACGATGAAGCCAATCAATTTTGGGTGAAAACTGCTAAGATTTAATGACGTCACCCTATTAAGCAACACTTTACACAGAGGAAATTTGAGAAACTACAATTAAGTGCTAATTGAATCGCTGACCCACAAAATTCCATAGAGGTATGTCATTTAGTGATATATTAGCTGTGCACTGAAAATTGAAAACTGAATTCTGGTTCTGGTTACTTATTTTAAAAGAAAACAGAACAAAAAAGATTAACACAACTTTTTTTTGTTTTACCCAATCTTTTTATGTTCCCACTTAAAGAGATATTTAGTACATTTTAAATGGGGTTTTGTTAAGTGTTTATGAGTAACCAGAGTCATAACTGGAGAGGATAGTGGTCAGAGTGCTCTTTGTTAGGGGAATCGGACCCTGTTGGTTGAATGAAGGTAAGTGCTGCTCAGACAATCGCTAACAAAGAACCTATTTTACGCTTTTAAACTTTTGTAGCACCTTCAAGGACAAGCAATGTCCTGGATTGTAATAATTCAGGATCGGGATACTGCAATTATTCATTACAAGATCCGTGGACCATGTTAGAAACACAGATGTTCTTAAGTTAAAAATGGCACAGTCTAACTAATCAGCTGATTGGAAATCATTCTGGATTGTTAAAAAAACACTTCAAAAATACTGAAATTGTTTGGTTAGAACATTGAGTACTTATGAAATAATGACTGACCAACTTGCAGACTCAAGGTCTCCTTCTTTGTACGAGGTCTTTGGATAACCTTTATTAACATCTTTAGTTATTCTTTCTCTTTCTTTTTCATCTATGCAATGTAAGGTCTGTATATAACTCTTCCTCCTTTGGCTCTACAATCCAGCAGGAACAAGAACGATCAGCTGACCAAAGTATTTGGAAACCACAATCAGGAAGAAGATATGTGATCTCAACTGCAGCTATTACAATCAACCCTATTATCTGTCCCTGAAGCTTTTCATACTCGGTTTTGTGAACCAAAGGGAAAAGAAGGAAGGGCATAAGGGAACACACACACACACACACACACATATATATATATATATAAAAAGCAAGCAGGCTGAAGGAGCCATTGCTTAAGTGAAAGACATTTTCAACTAAAATATTTCCAGTTGTAAAAAACATGAGTCAACCAAGTGCCACCAGTTGCTTTTTAAAATAGCATTGTTAGAAAACTACAGCTACCAAGCTACAACTAACATAAAGCCATTCCTATTGACCAGCAAATATGAGTTTATTGGATAATAGTGTTAATATTTACCAGAACATGCACTACTACTAAATTTAGAAGAGCTTCATTCTATATATTTGTAGAAGTCAGTATATCAAAATCAAGACCACAATAAGAACGCCTAAATAAAATGCTTTAACACGTAGGATGGTCATAACTGAGAATCTACACCAGTTGTGCCCAAACCTTTAGCCACCAAAGCCAAACTCATGAAGTTGAAAGTTTTGTCATTTTTGGGATACATTGTTTTCTATTTTATTAGTCTACCACATGTTTTAGACTATTCTCAGAAAATAGAGTGGGATATGGGTCACGGGGTCACAAAAACATTTCGAGAGCTGCCACTGGCTAGAGG